TAAAAATGTCTAAGAAAGATAGGCCCAACACCAGGGCCTACAGCAAAGAAATGGAAACGGAACAAGAAATAATCAACGAATCCACAAACGCAATTTCGAGAGAGTCCGAAGAATACACCACTGAAGACGAAGAAATAATTGATGACCAGGAGGAAATCGAAATAGAGAATAACGAACTCAGGTCAGAGATATTAAAACTATTAAAAAGCCAGAAGAATGATGAAAGCCTCATCGCGAACCTCCAAGATATGCTGAAGAACAGCGGAGCAGCGAGAGAGAAAAACATCACTAATGAAAAGCCTAAAGACCCAAAAATAGCGAGTGATATGATTGCGGAGAAAATCATTACAAAGAAGAAAAACGGTGATCCCGCGCGAAAATTTGAATGGCAGCCATCTTGGTTTCAACAGGCCTCCAAGATGAGCGATGCAGAGCCAATCAGCAAGCTCAATTCAAAATTTCTGGCGCGAAAAACGTTATCAGACAACGAAAACGAAAAAGAAGATTCAAACACCTCAGAAGAATCAGAACCAGAAAGTGAGGACGATTCAACAAAACACCAAATAAAATCAGCAATGAAAACGCTCTTTGCTGCATTTGGGCCAAAACTGAAAATTACTAAAAAGATGCCGAAGAAACGAGCGAGCAAGCCAATGCCTCAAGACCTGCCCGCTCCCATCCTGACTACGAGAGCGCTGACGCCCGAACCCAGAGAGCCCTGCCGATACCGCCCTACGCCGCAGACCGAAGCAAGCACCAACGCCCTCAATAGAAGAGGAAGAGCAGCCACCGTCGTCAGGACTCCCAAAGTCGAACCAGAGACCGACTCGTCTGAAGAGGAGCAGAGCGAGCAAGCCGCAATGGGGAGAACCTTCCACGACGATGCCGAAGAAGAAATGGACAACGCGCATGCGCGAAACTATGCAGACGGTCCGGGAAGACATGAACTGGAGAGAAGACCATGCAGACTCGTAGCGAGCATCCCCACGCCGTTTTGCAATTTTCTGCATTTACGAGACCACGGACTACCTCAGGTTGTAAGTAATGAACCCAATAATGTCGGAAATTTACCCAGTGACTTCCCAAAACTAAGGGTTGATGGCATTAATTTACAAGAATGGTATCAACAGCTCCAGGTTGTCTTTATGAAGGAAAACTTACTGTTTTTTATCACTAGTCCCCCAAAAAGACCTTGGACTCTAAAAATAGATTGTTTACACCATAGAGCTTTTTTCTTAATAATATCTAGTGTGTCTCCTGCAATGTATCACAGCATTAAGCCAAATTTGACTGTTTCAGAAATTATTCAATGCATGTTTAATTTGTTTCACAGTGACAGTGTAGCTACCACCACAAGGATATCTAAAGATTTCTTTTCGTCTAGAGTAAAACCAGGGGTTTCCATAAGTGAACATTTAATATCTTTGAACAAAATAAGAGCTGAACTGCATTTGAGGGGGGAGGTGATTTCAGACCAAACAATGAAAAGTGTTATTATCAACTCACTTGATCCATCATGGGACAATTTTATGTCACATTTAGACACAATCAATCTAGGATATTTATCCATAGAAAGTCTATCCAACAAATTGATAACAGAAGATAATTCAAGAAGGAATCGTTCTAACAATCATACAGAACACAAACCATATAGGAAAGTAGCTTTCCAAGAAAAATATAGTGGAACATTTAAATGTCATAATTGTGGATCCAGGGAACACAATAGAAGAGATCGCCCAAAATTTTTAAAAGAAAGATATAGATCAGAATACAGAAACAAATACGATTATAGACAGCCTTCCATAGAAAGGCATAGATATAGGAGCCCACCAAATCACAGAGAGAATAGAGGGGGCAGAGACAATTCAAAGGATAGAAAATCTGGTTCACTGAATGGATTAAATAAACAAGACAACACTAACACACAGCAAAGTGAGAACAATAATTGGCTTATTGATTCTGGAGCAACTAATCACACCACTAATAACAAAAATATATTGTCTTCATTTGCAGAAGATAAATTTGTAATTAAGGTAGCTAACCAAGAAAAGGTTCAAGTATTAGGTAGAGGAAATGTAACCTTGCCTGGTCTAGGAAAAATAGAGGGGGTATTACTAATACCTGAAATACCTCATAACATATTAAGTGCCATAAAACTAAGCAGAGATTCTGACATTAACATTGTCTTTTCAAAAGGAAAGGCAACTTTGGAAAAGAATAAAATAAATATAGGCACTGTGATGATTAAAGGAGGCCTACCTTATCTGATAACAAAAGAAAAATGGTTACATAACATTGATTCAAATATGGAAGATTGTATTGAAATAGATGATGAGAATGTTAGCAACAGTGACAATGATGAATGTAAAATATCTCATGATCACACAGATGCACACAATGATAAGAAGCCAAAAATAGGTAAACCAATTCATGATGAGTGTGCTCACATCTTACATAGGAAGTTAGGACATGCCAGTTTTCCTGTAGTACAAAAAATGACTGAACACGCAGAAGGTGTTAAAATAAAAAATTGTGAAAATTATCTGGAATGCTCAGTATGTAAATCTACAAAACTAAAAACTAGTCCCAGGCCAAGAAAATCTACTAGATCAACTAACAAAATTTTTGATTTAGTACACATGGACTTAGTTGGTCCATTAACTCCATCAATCACTTATAGAAAACGTTACTTCCTGACAATAGTGGACGATTATAGCCGCTATGGATTTGTTTATACATTAAAACACAAAGATGAAACATTTCAAAAATTTAAAGAATTTTACAAACGCATAGAAACACAACACAACATCAAAATAAAACAAATTATGACAGACAGAGGATGCGAATTCATGTCTAAAGAATTCTCCCAATGGTTAAAAGACAAAGGAATGTTACATTACACATCTAGTCCATTTTCTGCGTTCCAAAACGGGATTGCAGAGAGAAAAAATTCCACATTACAAACCATGATTAGATGCACATTGGAAGATGCTGGCTTAAGCAAACAATTCTGGTCAGAAGCCTTACATTATTCAAATTACACACAAAATAGAACATGGTCCAGCATTGTAAATAAGACACCATATGAAGTGATGTATAATAGAAAACCAAAATTAGCACACATGCATATATTTGGAGTCACAGCAGACGTACACATACCTAAACAATTAAGAAGAAAGGGAGAAAATGTGTCCAGAAGACTCAGATTTATGGGATATGAGACTGGCACTAAAGGGTACAGATTCATTGATAGTAACAACAAATTTATAGTCTCCAGAACAGCTGTGTTCCATGAACAAGCCAACTGGTCTAAATTACATCTTAATGAAATATTCCCAAATAAATATAAAGATACAAAATCTCATGAGAAAGGGACTATAGAAAAGCAAAATATCAACAAATATAAAAACAAAACCAAGACTTGGACAAATAGCCAACACAAAATAAAGACAGACACACTAACAAAAAAGGAAGCAAGATATTTGCATGATAACGATAGTAAACCCGAAAAAATCATTAGAAACACCAGAAATCAAATGCCAAATAAATACAAGGATTATGTAATGCATATGGATGGTGAACCAACAACACCTAATACATATGAGGAAGTGCTAAAACTTCCTCGCGAAGAAAAAGAAAAATGGGAATTAGCAATGAAGAAAGAGATGGAAAGTTTACAAGGATTAAATGTATTTACACCTGCAATTGCACCTAAAGATAAAACAATTATTGGTACCAGGTGGATATATAAAATTAAGAATTTAGAGGGAGGCAATACTCTATACAAAGCTAGATTAGTTGCACAAGGTTATGCACAGAAATATCCGGAGGACTATACCGACACGTATTCCCCCACTGTAAGAACAGAGAGTGTCAAAACAGCTCTAGTGGTAGCATCAGCACTCAATCTTGATGTATTCCAATATGACATACAGACTGCGTACCTACACGCAAAACTAGATAAGGAAATATACGTAAGAGCACCTCACAGTCAATACACAAACAGAAATGAGACTTGGTTGTTAAACAAGAGTTTATACGGGCTAAAACAATCTGGTAAACGGTGGTATGATTGTTTAGTAAAAGTACTTAAGACCATGGACTTCAACGCTACCACTGCTGATAATTGTTTCTTTGTCAAGAGGGGTGATGATTACATTGAATTTGTATTGATTTATGTGGATGACATTTTATACATAGGAAAACATAAAGAGAGAAGAGAAACTTTTGTAACTAAACTAAATGAGCATTTCTCGTTGAAATCTTTAGGCAAGGTAAACAAATACCTTGGTGTCCAAATTAATAAGACTAAAAGGGGATTCAAACTTACCCAGAGAGATAAGATCATAGAACTTTTAAATAAATGCAATTTAAACAATGCCAAACCTTGTGATACTCCTATGCAAACTGACTTTCTAAGAAATACTGATGAATCTTCTCCCGAATTCAAGGACAACACATTTTATAGATCAATCATAGGTTCACTCCTTTATATATCTAATTGGACTAGACCAGATATCGCTTTACCACTCAATTTATTATCCAGGCATGTCAGCAAACCAACAATGTATCACTGGGAAGCTGTTAAAAGAATTTTAAGATATCTAAAAAGTACACTAGACTTTTGTTTAATATTAGAACCTAATGATAATAAAGAACCAAAGCTTACGTGTTATGCAGATGCAGACTGGGCTGGAGACATCTCATGCAGAAAAAGTACATCTGGTTATGTATTTCTCTTAAATGACTGTCCAGTTTACTGGTACACTGGTAAACAAGAACTAGTGGCCACTTCAACGACAGAAGCGGAATATGTTTGTTTATCCAAAGCCGCAAATAACCTTGTATGGTTTAATGATTTAATTTCAGATGTTTGGAAAAAACCTGCTTTGCCTTTTGTTATGCATGAAGACAATAAAGCAGCCATTGAAATATCTAGATCTGATGCCATTGGACAAAGGTCCAGACATATAGATATAAAATTTAAACATGTGAGACAATTATCTCAGGATGGATTTATTAAAGCAGTACATTGCGACACTTCAGAACAATTAGCTGATATATTGACAAAGCCTTTACCTTCTAAGCAGCACAAATATTTAACCTCTAAGTTGTATGTTTTGTATTGTCCTGAATCTGAGTGTAACTGGTGTTGTATAACGAATCGGCATTTAGAGGGGGATTTGTCAGATGTAAATGCCTTATTCTCTAATGTGTAAATAGTGTACAAACAGGGTATCAGGGGTTAACTTATTCTTCACTTCTTAATGTATTCATAATTCACCACTCCCACATATAGCTCCACCCATTGTATATATAAGGAGCTACCTACACCTTTTCTCTTGCTTCTATCTGTGAATATTCAGTGAATATAGAATGCCTATTGTAAATAAAAGAATATATAGTTAAACCTTTAACTCTTGCTAATCTTATTGAGTCTGATCCTGAAAATATTGCAACAGGCATAATGTAGCATATATGTGTTATAGGAAAAGAACAAATGTTTACAGAATAACAAGTTTCTACTAATTATAGTATTCCAGTATATTATATTCTACTATTATTTATCATATCCTTATTACTATTTCCCTTCATTGTGAAAATAAAATGATTTTTATCCTAAGAAGTCAAACAGTACTTATTACTAGGTTCTTTTTTGAGGGAGCAGAATTGATTAAAAGCCTCTCTCAAATCAAGATATAACAAGTTACTCCAAGAAATTTATTAATTTAACAGCAAAAGTGATGTGAGTTTTAGTTGTCTCCTTATTTGTCTTCCAAGGTCCCACCAGTCAGTCCCTGAAAGGACAATGGATGCTTCTGGAAGGTTCTCTGGTGAAGCTTGTCATCATTTGCCCAGGCTTTAAAGAGAAGTCTTGATTGATTCCTGAGAGAAATAAACACACAACCGTTATTCTAAAGCCAACAAAATGGTAGCTAGGTTTTCAAATGATGCCTTTGAGATATGGATGCCATTTTCAAAGAGGTTCAACCTAAGTGGCAGCCCTTCATAGTAGGCCAGTTCTAGGCCAGAGGCAAAGCAGAGATTCCAGGATGATCTTCTCTGTAGTAAGATAATTTTATTTATTTTGGTTTATTATATGTATTTCGCCTTTATTATTTTTTACAAATAACCCAAGGTGGAGAACATAACCCACCCTCCTTCCTTCTCCTATTTTCCCAACAAGAAAACCCTGTGAGTTGAGTTGGGAGAGGGAGAGTGTCTAGTCTAAAGTCAGCCTATTTAGTATAAATAGTATTTAGTATATGGTTTTTGAGATTACGACACCAGGGCTAACGTTACCAGACTGTGAGTTCGAATTCTACCTTTCTGACTTTCATGGCTAAGGTAGGATTGGAACTCACAGTCTCCTGATGTCTAGCCTTGTGCCGTAATCTTAACCTTAAAGGTCCACCTAAGGTGCTCTGTATTCCCCTTATACTAAACATGGAGGGGTTTGTGGAATCAAAATGCTGGACCCAAAGCAGGTAATCAAGGTTCGCTGCAGTATTTACTGTTTTTGTTTGTGTGCACTGGAGAAATTGCTGAATGCTGTCAGGCTTGTCCCAGCTTGGATGTGTAGGAAAGAAAGCCCCTCGAATCCATTTGTAGCAAAAGGTATACTTTTACTAAAGTCAAGTGGTTACAGCGCAAGAAAAGTGGATTTGAGTATTCCTCTGCAAAGCCTGCCTTTTCCCCTTCTCCCAGGTCCTCCCATTTTGACCAGTTTTAAGAGTCCAATAATATTAGGAGTTTTGGTAACAGCGTTAAGGTTTGGTGCTTCTTTGGTGGAGTTTCCCATTCCATTCTCATGCTCCTGTTATTGGATCAGCCGGCCTGTTCCAGATTGACACCTCTGGTTTCTGTCATCCTGTCATCCCCCTTCCCTGCATCCCCATTCTCCCTCCCCCTCACTGCATTTTATCACAAGATGCCAGTGAAGCGAAGTAGGCTGAAGTCATTACGATGGCAGACCTGACAGATTCACTCATATTTATACATTTCAAAATGGAGGGGGATTTATATGCATGCATACACATTGGTAATTAATAACCTAACTGATCTCAAGTTACTTCCTGCCCTTCTGTTACCTAGAGAGGACAATGGTCTTCGTTAGAAGAAATATTTGCATCTTGAGATTCAGGGGTGCCTATGGGAAAGTTCTGATAACATTTATCACAGGACTACAAGGAGACATTCCCAATGTCTCCTTTATCTATTAAATAGTCTCATTCATATGAAAACTAATTTCCCCCACAGGCTGAATTTCATTCTCATGCTTTCTCTTTCTCAGCACTGCGTAATCTTCTCTGTAAGTTACTCTTGGTGGCTCATTGCTTCCTTCCCTATGCCCAAGATCTCTATTTGTTTATGCTGAGATCGAGAGGTTTCTCCAGGTTCCTCTTCCACAAAGGCCATTGGCATCAGCTTGGAGAGCTTCCGTTTCATACAATGAAGCTGAGCCACAAAAGTGCTACTTAAAAATGGTTTGAAATGCTGATGTGAAATTACTATTTAGGAAGAAGTCTATTCCCCTTCTGAAATCATCCATCTTGATCCCAATTGTCAGCCATTACTACAACCAAGCACTGGATTCCTACCTGCTGTCTTCTTCCTAGTCCGATGAAACAGAATCACTTTCTGACTGCTCTGCAGAACAAAGAAAAATGAAATATCAAGATAAGGTGTACATCTTATCACTAAAGAATCTGAATCTAGAAGTAGGATTCTGAGGATTCCATGATTCACAGAATAATATATATTTATTAAATATATATCAAAACATTATTGTTCGTCACATGGACAGCCAGATGTTTAGACTGGATTTGACTTTTTTGTCCACCTACTCTGTCCTTCCCAAAAAGTTGGGATGGGCAGATATTTTTTGATGGTATTAAAGTTATCATTGCAGGATGTAAGCTATTCCAAATAAAGCTGCCTTTTGCAATTGACTGAAAGGGATTTTGTCAATGATGATCGTGGTCAAGAGGTGATCCAGATGTTTTGGGATTCGTTATTGTTTTTGTTGTTGTTATATTTATGTGAGCAACTAAGGCTTACTTAGAGGACATTACTAGAGACCCAACTCTTGGGACGTCATGAAATATGTTAGCTCTACAAAATTTATCACTAGCATTACAAAATTGTATTCAAATGAATATGTTTCAGCAAAGAGTGGCAATAAAATCAATTTTTAGAGATTGCTCTATGAGTGAGATGGGCAATCTCTATATTTGATATATAAATGATTTTTTAAAAATATCTTTTTCATCAACCACTACTCCCTTCCAAAGGCAGAACTAATAGCTGAACTTACGTGTCTCTTCAGCCTTTGAAAAAAGGCTCTTTAAAAAATCACAGTGCTCTATCACCCTTTCCTGGAATGGCTCAGTATTAAGAAGAAAGAAATTCTGCTCTGTGGGATTATAGAGTGGCCACTCATCCTTCCTGGCTGCTGACCCAGTGGGATTCCTAAGGAGGAAGAAAAGGACATTGATGGAAACTAATCAAGGGGAGAAACAACCTAGAAATAAGGAGAAATTTCCTGACAGAACAATTGATCAGAGGAACAGCTTTGCCTTCAAAAGCTATGAGTGCTTCATAGCTGGAGGTTTTTAAGAAGAGATTGGACAGCCACTTTTCCAGAGTGGAATAGGGTCTCCTGCTTGAGCAGGAGGTTGGACTAGAAGACCTCCAAGGTCCCTTCCAACTCTGATGTAGCTCTTTTCCAAAGAGACTGGTTTTGACTTGAGAAACTACAACCAAGGGGAACTCCCAAAGGGGACTTTGAGGGAGGGGTGGAGTTTGGCTTGCTGAAATCTCTTGTGTCTCCTCCTTGCTGATCCAAACCCAGGTCAGCTCCTCATAGACTCTTGGATCTCAATCCATCCCCCCATTCCTCACACCCTGGGCACCCTCCATCCTGTGAGTTTCCCCTTCACTACTTACTGCCTTGTAAGCCTTTGCTTGTTCTCTTAATGGTAGAGTAATGCTCTGTTTCTTATCTCCCTTTCGCCTCCTTTATTCCACTTGGAGAAATAATGTACCCGGGAATATGTGCGATACCACTGAACTCATAAAAGAACAATTATCTATAAGTGACAATGTTAAGAATCCTTAAAAATTTCAGGGCTGTTTCCAGTACAGGTAGTCCTTGATTTACAACTATTCACTTAACGTCCATTCAAGGCTACAGTGGAACTGAAAAAAGTGACTTACAACTGGTCCTTGCACTTACAACTATTCCAGCATCCTTACGGTCACGTGACCAAAATTTGGCTGCTTGGCAACTGGCATGTATTTCCAATGGTTGCAATGTCCCAGGGTCACATGATCGCCATTTGCAACCTTCCCAGCTGATTTTCAACAAGCAAAGTCAGTGAAGGAAACTGGATTCACATAATCATATATTGTACTTAAAAATTGCAGTAATTTGCTTAATTACTGTGGTAAGAAAGGTTTTAAAATTGGGTATGATTTACTTAACAACTGTCTTGCTTAGCAACAGAAATTCTAGTCCCAACTGTGGTCGTATGAACTACTTGTATTAACACAACCTGTAAACATACGCAAAGGAATAGCATGCATTACTTTATGGCTTCATTGCTTTAGATATAAAGTGCATTTGTTGAATGGAAAGGCTTTCTTTGGATTTAAAATACAAATTTTTGAAATAATTGAACCACTTACCCAGTTCTGGCAAACTCTGCCCAGTAGTGCATCATCTTATGGCTCAGTCTGGCTTCAGCCTCTGTGTATGTTTGATTGAAAGGCAGCGTTGATTCAAGGGTTCCAAAAACAAAAGGAACATCAGCACCGTGAGGTGCCCCAGTCCATTCAGGCCAAACTGACCATGAAGGGCGATGTGTGAATAAATAGGCATATCCAGGACTCCCACTTTTCCTGATATTTCCTGCAGCTTCCCTCATTGGGCATGCAAATATCCGATCTGTATAGAAGTGGGACAGAGCAGAGCGGTATTGTGCTGGACCATGATTTCCTTCACTGTACTTCAGTGCAATAGTCCGAATAAAATCTTCAGTTGCATTTGGCACCAACATTCTTATCCCTTTCAGAAGCTGCTCCTGATTGATGAGATTGTGGGTGGTGTTAGGGAAAACATAGGGGAAAAATGAGGCTGCTTCATCAGAGGTTTCACCTATGAGGACAGGTTTGGCCTGAAATTGCCCCTCCTCCATGAGCTTTTCTGGATCACCAAGCAAAAACTCCCCATCTGTGGTTGGCCTGAAGGGAATATTCAAAACGAAGCCACCTTTGAATAATAGAGCTATTTCATGCCGAATAAGTTCAGAAACATTTTTTGATTGCAGGCAATGCACTATGCTGATATTATTGTCCTCGGAGCAACCTAGCAGATGAACAAATTCCAGTGATTTTTGTTTGGCTTCCTCAGGAGACCTCCAAGCCCAGAAGGCATTGGCTGTTCCGCTCTGGATCACTGCTTGGGCAAAAAAGTCCTGGCTTTTTGGTGCGAGAAGTTGGAGATTCACAGAAGATCCTCCAGCACTGTGGCCAAAAAGGGTCACCCGAGAAGGATCTCCCCCAAAGGCAGCTGCATTCTCTTTTACCCACTTCAGGGCCAGCTGTTGGTCCCATAAGCCAAGGTTCCCCGGAGCAGCTGGTGGCAAGTACAGAAAGCCCAGGGCTCCCAAGCGATAATTGATGGTGACCACAATGACGTTCTCAGCAGCAGCCAAAGGTGCCCCGTTGAACACGTCCACAGAAGACGTCCCCAATAAATATCCCCCTCCGTGTATCCAGACCAAAACAGGGACTGGTGAAGAAGGTTGTGGGTGTGGCACCCAGATGTTGAGGGAAAGGCAATCTTCTGACAGTGGTGTTTTAGGAGACCATATATCTGCTTCAGGGACATCCTGCAAAATATATTGAGAACAGGAATTGCCAAAACTGGTGGCTTCCAATGTTTGCTTCCATGGTGGATGTGGAAGAGGTTTCTGGAAACGCAACTTCCCCAGGGGAGGCTCAGCGTAAGGAATGCCTAGATAGGCTGTCACAAATCCAATGCCAGCCAGGAACTGCTTGCCCTTAAGGGGGCCACTGCTGGTTATGACCACTGTGTCTCCTTTAGATGCAGAACTGGAGGCTAATGGAAAGGGAAGGAGGAGGAGGAGGCAGCACAAGAGAGACGGGCATAGCAGACAAGGCATTGCAACAGTAGGACGAGTCGGTGGACCTGGAAAAAGTTACAACCAATATGAGATTATTCCAATACTGTATAAACCCACTTTATAGATTGTCCTGTTTGAGCACAGGGCTGGACTAGAAAACCTCCAAGATCCCTTCTGTCTCCTATTCTATTCTATTCTATTCTATTCTATTCTATTCTATTCTATTCTATTCTATTCTATTCTATTCTATTCTATTCTATTCTATTCTATTCCTGAGGGGCTGTCAAGAGAAGAGGGGATTGGCTTATTCTCCAAAGCCCCTGAGGACAGATAACGGATGGAAGCTTATTAAAGAGAGATCCAACCTAGAATTAAAGAGAAATGTCCTGTCAGTGAGAACAATTTAATTAGTGGAACAGCTTGCCTCCAGAAGTTGTGGGAAGAGATTGAACAGCCATTTGTCTGTCATTGTATATAGGATCTTCTGCTTAAGCAAGAAGTGGATTAGAAGATCTCCAAGGTCCCTTCCAACTCTGATATTCTGTACCTCTGTAAACTTTAAAAATGGTTTTTATCTTTCCAGAATTTTGTCCCATTGTACGAAATGAGATTTATTGCCATTTTTAAAAGCTCAGTTGTTTATCCTGTCAGGAAGCCAACCTCTCTATTTTAGTCTCTAGCTTCTGGATGTAATTTATACATTTATTTAATATCCTGCCATTATTATTTTTATAAACAACTCAAGGGGACGAACGTATGTAATACTCCTTCCTCCTCCTATTTTCCCTACAACAACAACTCTGTGTGGTGAGTTAGACTGAGAGAAAATGACCAGCCCAAAATCCCCCAGCTGGTTTTTATGGCTAAGGCAGAACTAGAATTCATGGTTTCTGATTCCTAGTCTGGTGCCTTAACCACTAGACCAAACTCTCTCTCTCTCTCCCTCCCACCCTTTAATAATTGCTAGATATACAGAAAGAACTTAAACTAAGCAAAGGACATGTAGATAATCAAGGAAAGTGTTCTCTGTTAAACAGAAATGACATTTAACAAATGTAATAACCCACCCTCCAAGAACAATAGGGACTGGATTCACTTTCACCTTTTTCTTAACTTCCCTTAGAAAACCTTAGTGCCAATATGCAGAGTGAAATAAAGAAAAATAAGTATATTACCTTTCTCTCCTTCAATGGCTGGCAAGGGATGGTCTCTTCTTTTAGAACTATTTAATTTTTTGGTAGTAGCAAGATTTATAGTCTTCGCAAGAGGAAGTGATAGTGCTTTGAGGTTCTTCAAACAGCCAGTCTGATACAATTGTGTAACTGGTTTTACTAAACCAGCTTCCAAGTTAGTAAATAATTTTTGCCCAAGTGGGATAGGAGACCAGCTTATTCCTTAGTTACAATCATCAGTAGTGAATTGGTGCTTGAAGTTGCCCATAGGATAGTTAGCTGAGAGGTGTTTTTAGCTGGATTCAGACATGGAGGTAGCCATTTCTGTTCTTTACTTCTCAACCTGTTTCTGTAAGCTTAGTTGCAAGTATTTTCCACAACTCTTCCCTGTCATGCATTACTGCCTTGTCATGGCGAAGGGGCTTGTGTAGCGCAGAGAGTTCTGACAAAATGTGATCCACTGGAGAAGGAAATGGCAACCCACTCCAGTATCTTTGCCATGAAAACCCCATGCACAGTACCAAAAGGAAAAAAGATATGATGCCAGAAGATGAGCCCCTCAGGTTGGAAGGTGTCCAATATGCTACTGGGGGAGAGCAGATGGCTAATATTAGTAGCTCCAGAAAGAATGAAGCGACTGGGCCAAAGCCAAAAGGACACTTGGCTGTGGATGCATTTGGTGGTGAAAGGAAAGTCTGATGCTGTAAAGATTTTTTCTCCATAGGGACCTGGAATGTAAGATCCATGAATCAAGGCAAGCTGGACGTGGTCAAACAAGAGATGACATGACTGAACATCGACATCTTAGGAATCAGCAAACTAAAACGGACAGAAATGGGTGAATTTAATTCAGATGACCATCAGGTATATTACTGCGGGCAAGAATCCCTCAGAAGAAATGGAGTAGCCTTCATAATCAATAAAAAGTAGGAAAAGTAATACCGAGATACAATTCCCAAAATGACAGAATGATCTCAGTTCAAATCCAAGGCAAACCATTCAATATCACAGTAGTCCAAGTCTATGCCCCAACCACTGGTGCTGAAGAGGATGAAATTGACCAGTTCTAGGAAGCTTTACAGTACCTTATAGAATTAACACCAAAAAATGATGTCCTTATCATCATGGGGGATTGGAATGTTAAAGTAGGAAGCCAAAAAATAACAGGCAAGTTTGGCCTTGGAGTACAAAATGAAGCAGGGCACAGGCTGATAGAATTTTGTCAAGAGAATACGATGGTCATAGCAAACACTCTTTTCCAATAATCCAAGAGATGACTCTACACATGGACATCACCAGACGGTCAACACAGAAATCAGATTGACTATGTGCTCCGCAGCCAAAGATGGAGAAGCTCTATACAGTCAGTAAAAACAAGACCAGGAGCTGACTGTGGCTCAGATCATGAGCTTCTCTTTGCAAAATGTAAGCTTAAATTAAAGAGAGTAGGGAAAAGCACTAGGCCACTCAGATATGAACTAAATCGTATCCCTGATGAATATACAGTAGAAGTGACAAATAGATTTAAAGAATTAGGTCTGATAGACAGGAGTGCCTGAAGAACTATGGACGGAGGTTCGCAACATTGTACAAGAAGTAGCAACTACAACCATCCCAAAGAAAAAGAAAGACAAGAAAGCAAAATGGCTGTCTGAAGAAGCTTTGCAAATAGCTGAGGAAAGAAGGGAAGCAAAAGGCAAGGCAGAAAGAGAAAGATACACCCATTTTATAATTTAGGTCACTGTTATTGTGCCTTTTGTAAGAGAAGCCCAAAGTGACCTACTTATTGCTCTCTCCTCCTGCCACAACAATCCTGTGAGGTAGTTTGGCCTGAGGGAGAATGAATGGCTTAAAGTTCTCCAAGGAACTTCCATGATTGAGAGGGGACTAGAACCTGGGTTTCCCTGCTCCTCCTTCAACATCTTAAACCCTAGACAATACAATCGTTCTGTTTGACTATCATGTTCATAGAATTTGCCTCATCTGTTTTAAAACCATCTGGGCTGATGGCTTTCAACTTATAACCAATGAATTCTATACAGGAGTTTTACACTCAGCTGAAGAGGTTGTAGAAAAAATGCTTTTAAAGCCTCTCACGATCCCTGCTGAGCTGCGCAATCATCAGAGGCTTTTTAAAAAAACTTTTAAAAGCATTTTTTTGGCCGAAGAGGTTATAGAAAAAATGCTTTTAAAAGTTAAAAAAAAAAAAGCCTCTGATGAGGTGGGCAGGGTAAGCGAGCGGCGACCGGGGACCGGTTCAGGGGTGTGGCCAGCCAATGTTATTACTGGTTCTCCGAACTACTACAAATTTTTACTACTGGTTCTTGCAAACTGGTGCGAACCGGGAGCAACCCACCACTGCCAAGGAGTAATATTAAAAAGCACTAAAAGAGGAATTTAGCAAATGCCTTGCTGAAGCGAGCGATCCTGTTGCGAACCAGTAGTAAAGGTAAGTAGAACCCACCCCTGGACCAAATCAAATGCTGGAAAGAAACAGCAGAAGACATTCCTAGAGCTGAAATGAAATAAAAAGATTCTGGAAAAGAAAACCACCCAACATGTAAGATTTACTTCAGCTGTCATTTAAGTTGAATTCACCCTGACCTGCCGTGGTTGTAGAAGGTTTGGAAGATCCACCTTGTCTTCTCTTGGAATGACAACATGGCTAGATAAGGATGTGAAGATATCCTGGAGGGCGTGTGCCACAACATAGACTGCATGGTAGATGTTGTAGCTTTCTGGGGACATTCCTTTCTCCGGCCAACCTGGGAGGAAGCCTGCCGTGTTTCTTCTCACAAGGCCCCTTTTCCATGTCTTCCTCGACAATCTGTAGTTGGAATCGTGGACGTCAAACATTTCTGACCAAACCGATTCAAGGGAATCATCTTGAATCAAAATAAGATCATAGAATTTGGATCTTTGGTTTCCCTGGATGGAGAAGGTTAGTGCTCCATGGAAGGGTTTGATGTCCCAGTATCTAAAAATTGTGCTTAAGGTGAAACTCCACAAAGCCGTGGAGATCCAAACTTTCCCAGAGGGGTTTGGTTGGCTTCTTCAATGTTGGACAATATAAAAGGCAAGAGAAGCATTGTGTCAAGATCCCCATAATAAATGAGCACCTTGCCTCATTAAGGTAAAGGTAAAGGTTCCCCTCACACATATGTGCTAGTCCCGACTCTAAGGGGCATTTCAAAGCTGAAGAGCCAGTGCTGTCCGAAGACATCTCCATGGTCATGTGGCCGGCATGACTAAACACCAAAAATGCACAGAACACTGTTACCTTCCCACCAAAGGTGGTCCCTATTTTTCTACTTGCATTTTTTACCTGCTTTCAAACTGCTAGGTTGGCAGAAGCTGGGAGAAGTAGTGGGAGCTCACCCCGTTACGTGCACTAGGAATTCAAACCGCTGAACTGCTGACCTTTGAACCGACAAGATCAGCATCTTAGCCACTGAACCACTGCGTCCCTATTTTTTTTTTCATTATAAAGTCTTAAATATATATCATTATAATTCAAATGCTGAGTTAATCTAGGCCATATGGAACCACCTTATCACTCCAGCAGAACAAAGCTAAATCAAATGATAACTTAATGTCAGGTACAAGTAACCAGAAACAGGAATTGAGTTCAAACTACTGTATCACAAGATTATTACATGCTACCTATTACAGCTGAATCTGATCAACTAATGGTCGAGGCAAATTGGCATGAGATAAAAGTCAACAGAATTCATGGGGGTCCTAGATTTAGTATTTTCTGGGAGCACAGCACCTCCAAACTGATTATGTATTTGACCCCACCCCACCCCTTTCAGGTTTCACCTGGTTATCTCCTACATCGAGCTGACCAATTTCAGAGAACCAATATTTAAAATCTAGGACGCAGACATCTTTCCAGAAGCTCACAATCCCTCTATGTACAATTTATCCATTCTTGCTAAATTGATATATTCCCGTTTGGATTCTTATTGAGGTGATGGTCCAAGCTCACATTTGGCCCAAGGTTGATAATTGCCTACTAGTTCCCATGAATAAATGGTATACTCCTCATAGTATGTAGAATATTGGCCTATTGGTGTCTGCAGACTCTTCAACAGTTCCCGTGCTCCACCAGTCTGTTCCTTCCATGTCAGCCCAACAAGGTAGGCCAGGATTATTTTTATCATAACAACTATTGGTAGTCCTTGACTTCTGAGCACTATTGAGCACAAAATTTGTTGCTAAGTGAGACATTTGTTACGTGAGTTTTGCCCCATTTTACAACCTTTCTTGCCACAGTTGTTAAGTGAATCACAGCGGTTGTGAAATATATCTGACAGGAGGAAAAAGCAAGAATTAACTTTAAAATGTTACAAGATGCAAGAACCAGAGGAGGGTTTGGATTACCAATTTGGGAATTATATTATCAGGCGGAACTGGATAAGATATTAACAGGAACAGAAGAGAGGGGGATAAAAAATTGTATAGTTATCTATTGCGTATTAAGTTAGAAGAAGAACAAATGAAAGAAACAATGATAGCATGGGCAAAAACTTTGGTTACATTATTTATTTATTTTATTATACTTATATAATAAGTATAACTTATGATAGAGTTAGATAAATGGCAGCAATTATAGGATAGAAATTATAAATTAACAATGTCAACTGCATACAAGAAAAATTTGTATAAGATGTTTTATAGAAGGCATTTGCCACGGGAAAGATTGGCAAAAATGTTTAAAGACAAATTTATTGTATTGGTTCGATTTATATGCCGCCCTTCTGCAGAGACTCAGGGCGGCTTACAATGCGTTAAGCAATAGCCATCATACTTTTGTATATACCTGCTTAGTAGGGCTTTCGGCCCCCCTAAGCGGTGTTCTTTTTTATACAAAAGTCAGCTTATTGCCCCCACAAACCGGGTCCTCATTTTACCTAGGATGGAAGGCTGAGTCAACCTTGAGCCTGGTGAGATTTGAACTTGCAGTAATTGCAGGCAGCTGGTGCTACTTAACAGCATTTTAGTCTGTTGTGCCACCAAGGCTCTTAACATCTAAATCAGCTAGATGTTGAAAATGCCATCAGATGCCGGGTCATTTTACCATATGTGGTGGACTTGTGTAGAAGCAAAAAAAATATTGGGCAAAAATTCGTATGTGGTTGGAGAAGATGGCACAACAACATATTGATCTCAAACCTGAATTATTCTTGTTGGGGATTTTACCAGAAACTTATAGTAAAGAAAATGTAAATTTGATTATTCATGTAATAACTGCAGCTAGAATTGTATTTGCACAAAATTGGAAAAGGGAAGAAATCCCCACATATGAAAATATGATTAAGAAAATATTAGAATGTGCAGAAATGAATAGATTAACACTTGCAATTAAAGGAAAGGAAGAATCGAACTATTATAGTATATGGGGGTTATTTTATCAATGGTTAGAGAATAAATATGAAAACTAGAAATAAAAGCAGAGGAGTAAAATAGTGAAAATGTATTAAAAAGGCAAATAAACTAAGAGAAATGTTACCATAGTAGATATGTTATGTATTAGTATTAATTCAAAAATAGATAAATAATGAACATGGTTGATTTTTAATGGTTAAATCAATGTTAATGGTTTTTGCACAAAAAAATTATACCCAGACGATACACTGTTTAATGAAAGATGAAATGTTTGTATTAAAAGAAAATAAAAAAATTATTTTAAAAAATATCAGTTGCAAACCATTTTATTCTCTACAAAAGTTTTCATCATTTCTTCTATTTGCAACATATTTCATCATTTCATCATTTCTTCTATTTGCAATTCCCACAAGGTTGTATAAGGAACATGTTACAAACTCTAGCTGACCACATTATGTGACATTTCAACATGTCAACTGTCTTACTAGAGGCAAGAGTACTTTAAACCACTGCTACACAATGTTAGAATATGCTTATCGGTCTTTACCACGAGCAGCTGTAGGACACTCTGATCATTGTATAATTCACCTTGTAGCTGTTTATAGACAAAGGCTTAAAACCACAAAACCAACAATTAAATCAGTGAAATCTTGGACTGAGGAGGCAAAGTTAAAGCTACAGGCTTGACTTGATTGCAGAGATTGGAAAGTTTTTGAAGATACTTCTGCAGATCTGGATGTACTCACAGATGCTGTAACATCATATGTTAGTTTTTGTGAAGACCTATGCGTGCCAATAAAAAAACTGTGAATATACTGTTACAACAAGCCTTGGTTCACAGCTAAACTCAAGCAGCTACGTTATGCCATAGAGGAAGCCTAGGAGGAAAGGGGTTAGAATACTGTGCAATCAGGCCAGAAATGTATTAACAAGGGAGATCAGAGCAGCAAAAAGACACTGCTCTGAAAAGCTGAGGAATCAGCTCCCAACAAACGAACCAGCAAATGTGTCAAAAACTCTTATCCCTGGTTACTGCAAATCTCCTGGCAGCTGACCAAAATGTGTTTTACTGTAGGTTTGAGAGGAAACCACTGTCAACTATCACCATTGACTGTCTCCATCTTAGATACACAACAACAGACAAGCCTCCTCCCATCCCTTTGGGGCCCCCATCTCTGGTGATCACAGAAAATGAGGTGCAAGGCAGGAGCGGGTTCTACTTACCTTTACTACCAGTTTGTAGCTCGCTTCGCTTGTGCAGAAGCGTTTTCATGATGTTGGGGTTGGTGGGCGGAGCCTCCCGCCGGTTTTACTACCCGTTTTATAGAACCGGTGCAAACCAGGAGCAACCCACCACTGGTGCAAGATCTATTTCACAGACAAAATCCTAGAAAAGTGCCATGCCCAGACGAGATAACTCCTTGCTTGAAAGCTTGTGCTAAACAACTGGTCCCCATCTTCACCCATATATTTAATAAATCACTAGAGATATGTCATGTTCTTTCTTGCTTCAAACACTCTACTATTATCCCAGTGCCAAAACAACAACTACTGAAGGACAAATGAGTTCTCTACTTTTGGTACAATATTTCATTTGCTACATGTGGTAAATCAGAACACTCAATTTTCTTTTCAGCAAGATTTAGGGGACATTGGCGTGTTATTAATATGTGTGGCTGAATGTGCCCTTTTAATCGGATAACTGGGGTAGGGTTAAGATGGCTTGCAGGAACTGCTCTGCTGTTTTGTTTTGTTTTTAAAAACTTTGAAGACCAGCAGGTGAAGCTAAAAGCAAAAGAGTGAACCAGACAGTTGGTTATATGCTGTAAGTTAAGGAAAGATTTCCCAGAACATATAAATTAAGCTCAGGAGTTTATAATCAGCATGAAAACAATTTCTATAATTTTCTTTAACACACAAAACTCCTCATGGTCTTCTTTTCCCCAAAACCTATTCTTGATTCCATTTTTCGTAGCCTAATTTAGAGTACCGTTTCCAATTCTTGGCAATTTTATTGATAGTTCAGCAATATGGAGTGTCAATCTTAGAATTCCACAGCTAATGGCCACTGATGTAAATTTCTGAGAAATTGACAAGATTAGAAACATTGATTTAGAGCAGTGGTTCCCAAACTTTTTCAGTCCACCGCCCCCTTGGTGCTACAAACTCATCATCAGTGCCCCCCACTCCCACCCCTATAAATAGCATTGTTCAGAATAGCGGTTTGCACAACCCACTAAGGAAGATAGTAACAGTAAAATTCAAAACTGTAACAATTAATTGCACATTTATTCAAAATCCAATTTAAAAATCTTTTGTTAATTCAACAAAATTGTTGAACATGATCCAGTGATACCAGGTTTTCAAAGTCTGATAGTCATTTATCAAGAACATTAGTAACTACTAACTTAGTAAACTCAGTTAAATTTAGTAACTACTTCACTGTTCAGTAAATTCTTAATGTGATGGATGGGCTTGATAAAATGATACCAGTTTCCCAATGTCTGGTTTTAAGTCATTTAGCAGGCATCTTAAATCACCACATTCAGTAATCTGGAGTCGATTTCTTTGCCTGGAGAGAAGTTGGATGACCACACTGAAACCACGTTCCAGCAAATATGATGTTGCAAATGCAACAAGGAGCTTCTTAACCACTGTCCATAGTGCAGGATAGCGATCAGAAATTTCCTTCTGTAACCAAAACTCTTGGTATGATTTCTTAAACTTTGGCTTCAGCTCAATGTCATTTTGCAGCTCTATTAGTTGTTCCTCCACTACCCCATCTTCCTCAGTATCTGAAAATGGATTTATCACCCAATCTGGAATTTCCATCAAAAGAAGATCCTGTTATCGCTCAGACATATCTTTATGCAGCATGTCCAAATGGTCACAAAAACCTTGCAGATCATCTTATATCCTACCTTTCTCTTCTAGCTCGGACAAGCTCGGAAATTGGTATAACTCGTGACAGCCTGCATTGCGCTTGAATAGAGTTAACTTTGAAATAAACGTAGAGATGACAAATTTGGCCTTAATAAGATTGACCTCATTTCCTTGCAACTGCAAATTCCCTTCATTGAACTTTGCAAACAGTTCTGATAAATAAGCAATGTCATGCCTGATTTCTTTGAGTTCATCACTAAGGTAATGACTGATGGCCACCTAATGTCTTCACCTCTGCAGGTTCTCAAAGATTTCTGAGACCAGTGTTGAATACTTAAATTTCAATAGTCATCAATCCCAGTCTTAAAATGAGTTTAGAATCAGTGAGAGTCACTGATAACAATGAACTACTAGCTACTGGTAATGAGTCCAGTCCTGTCTTTCTTTTCCTTCTGTCCAAGTTTTGCAAGTACTTTTTCTAAGCATATGTTTTATTCCACATACAAACCATTCTTGTTAGGGAAAAAATTGCTCTTCCAAGCAATTTTAAAAGACACTGTCAGAATGACTCTGCTCTCAGCCTTCTTTGTGATTCCTTGAAAAGCATCCCCCCCCCACACACGCTCCAACACCGGAGGAGGCAGGAATGGGCTGCAGGTGTCTAGAATTAAAAAGTGGCTCAAATCCCTAGTATAGTCCTCCTGCGTGAGAAGGGATTGCTAGATGACCTCCAAGGTCCCTTCCAACTCTTACTGATACTGGCCCTGGCTTTCTTGGTGGAATGGCAGTGGCAGCAATGACGGCGGCAGCGGCAACGACAGTGGCAACAGCTCCCCACACACACACATGGCAGCCCACCTGGATCCTCGGCAGGGGGCTGGCAGGCCTTGCTGGCCGCATACTAGCCATCCCGGGAAGGCCTCTGGTGACATCGGGGTCTGCGGCAAAGCTCCCGATTTCTCCAAATGCCTCTTTCTAACCGTTGTAAGGGGACGGGCTGCGGTGCGCAAACTTCAAAAACTGTTCCGCTGCCACCTGCACCGCTTGCTTGGAGCTGGTTTGGAAAGGGAAAAAATGAAGCCGAATTAGGTGAGACATGCCCCATCCAGATGCCTCCAAACGGCTTTCCCTACATTAGCCTTCCCGCTGAAAAGCTTTCCTGCTTCTCCACTGCCTGCATTCTGGGGCGATCACTGTTGGGTCGCGTAGTTCAGTGGGCAGGCTACCGAAGGGAGACCCGTTTGGAAGGATCTGGGTGGGGCATGTCCCGCCTAATTCGGCTGCAGTTTTTTCCCTTTCCAGACCAGCTCCAAGCAAGCGGTGCACAAACTTCAATAGCTCTTGTGCCACCACCTGCATCGCTTGCTTGGAGCTGGTTTGGAAAGGGAAAGATTGCAGCCAAATTAGCCGGAACACACCCCGAACCTACTGATTGGAGCATTGTTAAAAACTTTTTAATCCTCATATTCACCTGTCAAATCGTAGTTTTAATTGATTGTGAACATGATGTTTCTGTGGAAGAGAAGAGGGAACTCCCTTAACTCAACTCAATAAAACTCTTTACCTTTTTGTCAATTTGCTTCAACACTTAATTATGTGAATTAATAGATTGATGAACTATCGATTTAGCTCTTGCCTTGCTGTCCATTGGGCTAATAAGCTAATAGGCTTTCAGAGTTACTCATAGTAGAAAAATCCAATGCAAAATTATCTCCAGGCACTCACCAAGTCCAACTCCGTGATCATCTCAATGGTGCCATCTGCTGGCTATCACCAAAACGTTTTATTACCTCTAAATGTTTCCAAACTTGTCCATTTCTAAATGGTGCCATCTGCTAGCTATCACCAAAAGGTTTTACTACCTCTAAATCAGTGGTTCCCAAAGTGGGCAGTACTGCCCCCTGGGGGGCGTGGAATGACTTAGGGGGGTGCTAAGAGGGAAGGGGGCGGCAGAGGGCCACTGAGAGGGAAGGGGGGTGGCAGAGAAGTGCTGGAGGTGGGCTCACGCAGCGTTGGCCATTCCTCTTCTGGGTTCGCAACCCAAAGCTTAGATCATCAGACTAGCTGGCCAGTGCACATGCGTGCACCAGAAACTGAAAGTTTGTTTCCCGCCACATGCATGCCCACCGGGCAGCTCCTCTTACCACACGTGCAAGGCTGAATTGTTGGATGCTTTCTTAATGCTCTCCTTGCTTGCTATCGGTTGCTCCTTGCCCAAATCTCCTGACACAGGCCCAGCTGCTCTGCTCCTCACCTGCTTGACTGCCATCGCTTTCCTAATTTTTGGTAAGTTGCAGGTGGGAGGGGAGGCCTGGAGAGGGTGGCAGGCCAGGCTGGCCACTGGTGGTGGCGTGCTGCCCAGGATCAAGTTAGACTGCCATGTGGGGGCAGGCCTGGCTGGCTGCCTGGACACATACTAGCCATCCCGGGAAGGCCTCTGGTGACATCAGGGTTGGTGGCAAAGCTCCTGATTTCACCGAATGCCTCTTTCTTACCGTGGTAAGGGGACGGGCTGCGGTGCAAAACGTCAGCAGCTGTTGCGCTGCCGCCTGCAGCACTTGCTTGGAGCTGGTTTGGAAAGGGGAAAAACGCAGCCAAATTAGGCGGGACATGCCCCACCCAGATCCCTCCAAACAGGTCTCCCTTCGGTAGCCTCCCCGCTGAACTACATGACCCAAAAGTGAGCACCCACACTTTCTTGCAGCGAATGAGCTGGGGGTGCGAAAAGCACTTCCCGCTTCTCTACCTGCATGCTGTTGCACCCTCCAAGACCAACAAGATGCCACTACCCGGGGCCACTGGCCACTACCTGGTTGCAGAGCCTGTAACATAGCATGCAGGCAGAGGAGAAGCAGGAAGCACTTTTCAGCAGGGAGGCTACTTTAGGGAGACCCGTTTGGAGGGATCTGAGTGGGGCATGTCCCACCTAATTTGGTTGCATTTTTTCCCTTTCCAAACCAGCTCCAAGCAAGCAGTGCAGGCGGCAGCACAACAGCTGCTGATGTTTTGCACTGCAGCCCGTCCCCTTACCATGGTAAGAAAGAGGCATTCGGTGAAATCAGGAACTTTGCCACCGACCCTGATGTCACCAGAGGCCTTCCCGGGATGGCTAGTATGTGTCCAGCCAGCCAGCCAGGTCTGCCCCCGCCCCCCCCCCCCATGGCAGCCTACCTTGATTCTGGACAGCATAGCACCAGCGGCAGCCAGCCAGGCCTGCCACCCTCTCCAGGCCTCCCCCCCTCCACCTGCAACTTACCAAAAATTAGGAAGGCAACAGCAGTCAAGCAGGTGAGGAGCAGAGTAGCTGGGCCTGTGTCAGGTGGTTCAGGCAAGGAGCAACTGATAGCAAGCAAGGAGAGCAATAAGAAAGTATCCAACAGTTCAGCCTCGCACATGTGGTAAGAGGAGCTGCCCGGTGGGCAACTTTCAGTTTCTGGTGTACGCAGGCACACCGGCCAGCTAGTCTGATGATCTGAGCTTTGGGTTGCGAACCCGGAAGAGGAATGGCCAATGCTGCATGAGCCCACCTCCAGCACTTCTCTGCCACCCCCCTTCCCTCTCAGTGGCCCTCTGCCGCCCCCTTCCCTCTTAGCGGCCCCCTAAGTCATCCCACCCCCCCCAGGGGGCAGTACCGCCCACTTTGGGAACCGCTGATTTAGAGGTAGTAAAACTTTTTGGTGATAGCCAGCAGATGGCACTATTTAGAAATGGACAAGTTTGGAAACATTTAGAGGTAATAAAACGTTTTGGTGATAGCCAGCAGATGGCACCATTGAGATGATCACGGAGTTGGACTTGGTGAGTGCCTGGAGATAATTTTGCATTGGATTTCTCTACTATGAGTAACTCTGAAAGCCTATTAGTTTATTAACCCAATGGACAGCAAGGCAAGAGCTAAATTGATAGTTCATCAATCTATTAATTCACATAATTAAGTGTTGAAGCAAATTGACAAAAAGGTAAAGAGTTTTATTGAGTTGAGTTAAGGGAGTTCCCTCTTCTCTTCCACAGAAACATCATGTTCACAATCAATTAAAACTACGATTTGACAGGTTCATATGAGGATTAAAAAGCTTAAACAAATGCTCCAATCAGTAGGTTCATAGCATGTTGCATTCATCCTGGTGGGCTTCTCATGAGTAGTCCAGATTAGAGAAAGCACAAACACAGGTGTTTCTCGTGATGAGAGAGCCCAGAGCTGACTCCGTCACCCTCTTTTATTATACAAGGGTATAGGGCGTATCAGAAGGCATGATTACAGCTATACATTCTCATATTACATCTGTGATACAAAGGATTTTCTCCATATCTGGACATAACTTTCACATCCTACCATATTACAGTAAATCACGTGAATTCTAGGAAAGCGATACCTAATGTAAAAACAAAACTTATCATATTTGCTGCTAGCCGGGAGGCCCATCTTGAGGTATCAGATTACCTCAAGCCTCAGGAATGTTCTACAAGGAGATGTCTCTGCTAATGCAGGCACAGCCTATGTTATGAACAAAGAGAGAATGAATAGGGCCCTTCAGAGAGTATCCATATGAACCCGCTTTTTCCACTCAGATTATTTCGGTGCCAAGCTCCATACATGTGTCCAACCAATTAAACTGGTCTACACATATACTATGGCCACCGCATTCCCACAATAGCAGCATTGATGGATATTAGAATTCCTGCCTTCTCACTGAAAGGTATCTGGTAAACATTGCTGGGCTCAGAAAGGGCATAATTTGGCATGCAGCTTGGATTTTGTACATGAAAGCTTATGTTTTTAACTACATACCTTTCAACTACATACCTGGAATTTACTATATATCTAGTACAGGGGTGAAATCCAGCAGGTTCTGACAGGTTCTGGAGAACCGGTAGCGGAAATTTTGAGCAGTTCGGAGAACCAGCAAATACCACCACTGGCTGGCCCCAGAGTAGGGTGGGAATGGAGATTTTGCAGTATCCATCCCCTGCCACGCCCACCAAGCCACCCCACGCCCACCAAGCCACGCCCACAGAACCAGTAGTAAAAAAAATTGGATTTCACCACTGATCTAGTACTTGGAATTTGCCAACAATGCAGCGAGACGTGTGCAGACTTTTGAGAAAACAAAACAACCACCTCACAAACACATGGCACAACATAGGAGAACAAACTCATCAGGACAGGATTCAGCAGTCCATCTACCTCTAAAAGACAAAGGTCACTCTTGAAGACAGCAAAGTTCACATTCTGAACAGGGATAACTAATGCAGGGGTAACTTTGTGGGGGCAATAAGCTGACTTTGTATAAATATACAAGAGTATGAAGGCTATTGCTTAACGCATTGTAAGCCGCCCTGAGTCTCCGGAGAAGGGCGGCATATAAATAAAATTTAAAAAAAAAAACTTTGTAGGTTGTCTTGAGTCCCAGACTTGATTAAATCTTGCTGGGTGATGTAATGAAGGGGCTTTGGGCAATTCCTATCACCCTGGAGCTGAAGGTCTTTTGTCTTGTAGATAAGATGGCTCAGTCTTTCTGGGGCTATTAACAAAGGTGAGAGCTGCTTTCCAAGAGCACGTTTCTCCTTTTCTCATCCAGGGAGGTAAAATATTCTGCCTTTTTAATATTTCCTAGAATATTTCATTCTTCTCGGAGAGGGGTGGGTACTAACTTTCTACAGTTCTTATGGGGAATTTCCTAACTGCATAAAGAACACCACTTCCTATTGTAAGGTCCCAAAATACACTTGAGTCACCAGAATGCCAAAGAGAGAGAGACTCAAGACGAGGCTTGCAAAAAAAAACCCAGATTTTATTTATGGCCAAAAACAAAATACTGGGTGGAACTATATCCAGAACATACAGATACAATGCATGCGAGGAAATAGCCACATCTTGGGGAAGGTATGGCGTCCTTTTATACCCTCAGAGACGTCAGCTTAGTAACCAATTCTGGCCTCCTAATTTAGGTTTGTGTATTCCTTGTTGCCCTGCAAAGGAATCTAAACTTCCGATTAGTCTTATCTTAAGCATTTCTTTGTTTACTTAATTGGCTACTTAGCCCCTGGCTCTGGAAGACCAGATCTTATCCAGATCAAGCATAAATTAGGACTGAGGTGTAAATTATCCCTTTGTTGATGGCTGTGGTTTCAACTGAGATACGTACCATGCTTTTAGATGGCACAGAAAGAGATTGATATGAGTTCAGGTCAAATGGCAGGGACGTACGTTTGACAAATACCAGATACATTTCAGAGGCTTCATGACAATATGTTTGTAACAGGAGATACAAATAGAAAGGAATAATATATGTGATACAAATACAAAGGAATATATGTATTACAGGAACCTAATGGTTACAGAATCTAGTATACCAGTATATCATATTCTAGTATTATTTATTATATCCTTATTATTGTTTCCCTTCACTATGAGCCTTGTTCTGTGAGACTAGGCCTCACATAAACCACCATTCCTAAAAGTGGTGAAGGCACGTAAACGGAGCAGACAAAAGCCAGGAAAAGCTACCTCATGGAAAGGAACCAAGTCATTAAAGAAACAAAAGGACAAAAGTTGGACCTGAGCACATGGCAAGCCTACCCCCCCACCCCCACCCCTTTCACCAAAAAAAACAAGGACTTTCAGGGATAAAAGAGGTCCTGAATCCTGCCCACTCTTTGAGTCATTTCTGGATCCAGAGTTGGCTGCTTCTGCCCCTCTGGCTAATGCCTGGCAGCCTAGTTGTGGACCCTGGGTAAGTGTGTGTGCGTGTGTGTATGTATCAGAGGTGGTTTTCAGCAGGTTCTGATCAATTCTGGAGAACCAGCAGTGGAAATTTTGAGTAGTTCAGAGAACCGATAGTAAAAATTCTGACTGGCCCCACCCCCATCTATTCTCCGTCTCCTGAGTCCCAGCTGATCAGGAGAAAATGGTGATTTTGCAGTAACCTTCCCCTGCAGTGGGGAGGGAATGGAGATTTTACAGTATCTTTCCCCTGCTACACCCACCAAGCCATGCCCACCAAGCCTGCCACGCCCACCAAGTCACACCCACAGAACCGGCAGTAAAACAATTTGAAACCCACCACTGGTATGTATGTGTGTGTGTTTGTGTGTGTAAGAGCAAGCAGGTATACTTTATAATCAGTAAAAGTTTGTCGTTATTTTAAATTCACTAGGTCTCTGTGTATTTTAAAGAGCTGCTTGTGCCACAGTCTTCAGTTGAAATTGGTTTGAGTATGGCAATTTTCCAGGAGTGTGAGTATGTGAGGGAATGACCTCGTAAGTTGAGAGCACACCATTCACATTAAGCTAAAATGAGACAAGTGCCAATATTATAACTAATGGATGCCTCAAGCAGCATGACTGAATACCACACTTAGGATTCTTCTCACATGAACTTTAAATGCATGTTATGCAGGATTGTAAACAGTTTAAATGCTTCTTGTGAATGAAGGTGAGTTATAAATTCCGAAATAGCTAAGTAACTGATCATATAGATATGGCAGACGAAGACATATTGCTTAACGTTCTACGTTATATTATTATTTTATTCTACAGGTAGTCCTCGCTTAATGACCGTAATTGGGGTTGGTATCTCATTGCTAAGGGACACGGTCAATAAATGAGACATCACGTGTCTGCAAACGGATTTATGACATCAGTTCCGCTGCAGTGGTTATGCAAATAACACACGATCATTAAGTGCGAAATCACATGACTGCCACTTGCAATTTTACTGCTGACTGCTCTGTTGGCTTTGCTTGTCGGAAGCCAGCTGTGTGAAGCACACCAATGGCGATCATGTGTCCATGGGACACTGTAAGGGTTGTAAACACACCTTAGTTGTGAAGCACCCAATTCTTGTCCACATGAACATGGAGATACTGCAATGGTCACAAGTGCAAGATCTAGTCATATGGTTACTTTTTCCACTGCTGTTGCAACTTTGAACAAGGGCAGTCATTAAGAGAGGACTATCTGTGTAGCTCTTAAGTTCTGATGACAAAGAGAACAGTTAAATTAGAATAACAGAGTGGGAAGAGGTCTTCTAGTCCAACCACCTGCTTAGGCAGGAAACCCTATACCATTTCAGACAAGAGCCTTGGTGGCACAGCGGACTAAAGTGCTGTTAAAGTAGCACTTAGCTGCCAGCTGCCTGCAATTACTGCGAGTTCAAATCTCACCAGGCTCAAGGTTGACTCAGCCTTCCATCCTTCCGAGGTAGGTAAAATGAGGACCCAGATTGTGGGGGCAATAAGCTGACTTTGTATAAAAATAACACCGCTTAGGGGGTGGCCAAAAGCCCTACTAAGCAGGTATATACAAAAGTATGAAGGCTATTGCTTAATGCATTGTAAGCCGCCCTGAGTCTCCGGAGAAGGGCGGCATATAAAACAAACAAACAAACAAACAAACAAACAAACAAACAAATGGTTGTCCAATCTTTTCTTAAAAACCTCCATGATTAGTTTCCACCCATTGCTTCTTGTCCTGCCCTCAGGTGCTTTGGAGAATAGCTTGACTCCCTCTTCTTTGTGGCAACCCTTGAGATATTGGAAGACTCCTATCATGTCTCCCCTAGTCCTTCTTTTCGTTAAACTAGACATATCAATTCCAGCAACTGTTCTTTATATGTTTAAGGCTCCAGTCCACTAATCATCTTTGTTGCTTTTATAGGTAAAGGTAAAGGTTCCCCTTGCACATTTGTGCTAGTCGTTCCCGACTCTAGGGGGCGGTGCTCATCTCCGTTTCAAAGCTGAAGAGCCAGCGCTGTCCAAAGGCGTCTCCGTGGTCATGTGGCCGGCACAACTAAACGCCAAAGGCACACGGAACGCTGTTACCTTCCCATCAAAGGTGGTCCCTATTTTTCTACTTACATTTTTTATGTGCTTTCGAACTGCTAGGTTGGCAGAAGCTGGGACAAGTAAGGAGAGCTCACCCCATTACACGGCACTAGGGATTCGAACCACTGAATTGCCGACTTTTCAATTTTGCTTTTATACTTAAACTTAAATGTTCACCTAATATACTAAAAAACAAGATCACATTTTAAAATCCAGATCGTGGCCTCACAAGGGTAACTAATGAGAATTAGCATGGAGTAATGGTTCAGATGCTGAATTCTGGATGAGAGATCTCAGTTCGAATCCATTCTAGAATAGCTCATGATGGGATCATCACTTTAACCAAAGAATAGTTTTATTTATTTATTTATTTATTTTTCATACTTGTATACCGCCCTACTCCCGAAGGACTCAGGGCGGTGAACAGCCATAATAAATACAAATACATATAGAAGTTAAAAACTATTAAAAAACAGATTAAGTAATTTGGCTCAAAGATTAAAACATCCAAATTTATCTAAAAGAGGTCTAAACCCGATTTAAAAGCCAATTTAAAAAGCCAATTTAAAAGGGAGAGTTAGGCCAGACCAGCTTATTGGAATAGAAATGTTTTCAGGGCTCGGCGGAAAATGCGTAAGTCTTGGATGTTTTGTAACTCCGGGGGAAGCCCGTTCACATAAGTGTTAGTGGAAAGATTTGAAGGAAGGACATACAAAACATTAAAATGCTTTTCAACTCTGATGCTATCTTTATGAATAGCATGATGGCTATGATTATGATTCTTATGATCCATAATTCTATTCTTTAATAGATGGTTTAATGTAATTTTATTTTTATTTAATAGATGATTATGGTATTTATTAAATTATTTTCATGCAATAAATGTTTGGAGGTTGATGGACAAGTTCATGAAAGGATCAATGCACTGAAGAGTTTGGGCACAGAAAACCACAGATAGTGTGCCATTCAATATGTGAAAGGGAATTACTATATATTGAATCATCCCTAAATTGAAGTTTGCTTTAAGGTCTGCTCCCTAGTTTCCAAGGACCCTTCCAACTCTGTTACTGTTACTTCGAGATGCCAAAAGATTTCTATTTTTATATCTTAGGATACAAAAATATCACATTGGCTTATTTTTCCAGTGATGGTCTTCATGAAATAAATTTCTAGGTACTTTCCTGTGCAACCACATCCTATGCATTAGAGAAGTGTGGAAAGGACACAAGCGAGAATCAAGCAGGGCAAGCGTCTTAGAAAGCCAAACAACTATTCCTGTTTATTTAGCTATAGTGTCACTCTTATTTATTTATTTATTTATTATTTATTTATTTATTGGTTTGATTTATATGCCGCTCTTCTCCGGAGACTCAGGGTGGCTTACAATGCATTAAGCAATAGTCTTCATACTTTTGTATATACTTGCTTAGTAGGGCTTTCGGGGCCCCCCCAAGCGGTGTTCTTTGTTATACAAAGTCAGCTTATTGCCCCCACAATCCGGGTCCTCATTTTACCTACCTCGGAAGGATGGAAGGCTGAGTCAACCTTGAGCCTGGTGAGATTTGAACTTGCAGTAATTGCAGGAAGCTGGTGCTACTTAACAGCACTTTAGTCTGCTGCGCCACCAAGGCTCTTACAGTGTTCTTTATCAAGTGTGTACCGATGTCTGTGGAGATTCTCAGTCGTCCAGGTCATGGTTGTCCCACAGGTGCTTTTTTTCAAGAAGCAACTGGACTTTTTGGTTTTTCTTTGAAGACGTTTCGCTTCTCATCCAAGAAGCTTCTTCAGCTCTGACAAGATGGAGGGGAATGGAAGGATTTATACTCCTTGTAGACAGCTGGACATTTGCATTCTTTTAGAGGGTGTTGAAGCACTTGCAGATTTATTTGTGTCCTCAGCAGAGGTGGGCTTCACATAATCTAACAACCGGTTCGCCCAGAATCTAAAATGTGTCCACGCGTGCCTTGCGCACATCAGGGGTGGGTTCTACTTACCTTTACTACCGGTTCGCAGCGGGGCCATGCATGCTCCTCTGCGCATGTGCAGAAGTGTTTTAGTGACGTTGGGATCAGTGGTGGAGCCTCCCGCCGGTTTTACTACCGGTTCTATAGAACCGGTGCAAACCGGGGGCAATCCACTACTGGAGTACATGCTCACTGCATCAAAAACACAGCGATTGTATAGGACGGGATAGCTTCGTGCGCGCGCCTTACACACATGCATGCTGCATCAAAAACACGGCGATTGTATAAGATAGGATAGCGTCGGGGCAGGAGGACGGGCCCATGCAGCTGGCTATAATTACCGGTTCACCGAACCGGCTGAATCCCACCTCAGTCCTCAGGATCACCTCAGTGGTGCTACAGACTTTTAGCTATGCAATTTAGTTCGTTCTTCAAATGGTGTCGGAGTATGAATGCATTTCCAGAGGGATCATTGCAGACTGCAGGAACCATTAGCATTAGCATTACTGAGGTGATCCTGAGAACACAGATAGTTACACTATGAACTGTTTACCCAAGAGAAGGGAAGAAGATGATTGGACAAGAAAACTGATTCTAACTCCTCCTCCTGGTATAAATGAGTTGGAGTTTCTTACTTCTGTGCCACAGCTTCCTCTCAATCTGTCATTGGAATCCTCCTGGGTTTAAGATTTGGTTTTTCTTCTCTTTTCTAGATAATTTATAGAACCACAGAGATTCAAACATGGGAAACGCTTTCGTTGCCTACCGTGGTCATGTTGTCACCGCTGTTGTTTCTGCTGTTGCTTCTGCTGTTCTTGTATTTTGCATTGGTAAGTCATCCAAACTCTAACATTGCGAGCTAGATAATGCTTTCATTTCTAGTGAGAGGTGGGGGTGGGTTTTTTTTTTTTTTTTTTTTTTTTCATTTCTGTTCTATTTTTCCCCCTTTCTGGGGGGATAGCAGCAGCCAGGTTAGTGAAGGGGGTTGGACTGGCTCTGGGGAGACCCAGGTTGTAATCCTCCCTCAGCCACAAAAGCTCCTTGGATGGTTTTGGGCCTTTTGCCTTCTCTCTCAGCCCAGCCTACCTCACAGGCTTATTAAGTGTTTTTTCCAGTGAGACCAGTCTATTAGGGCAACCTGGTCTACCCAATAATGGGACGGAGCCAAGGGTGAAATGTAAAATTTGTTATTACCAGTTCTGTGGGCGTGGCTTGATGGGGAGGGTATAATGTGACTGGGTGGGCATGGCCAACTTTTTTTTTTTTAACTTTTCAAAGCATTTTTTTCTAATGATTTGAAAAGCCTCTGCCGATCAGGCAATTCAGCTGGGATCGTCAGAGACTTTTCAAAGCATTTTTTTTACCACCTCTTCAGCCAAGAGGTTGCAGAAAAAAATGCTTTGAAAAGCCTCTGACGATCCCAGCTGAGTTGCGCGATCAACAGAGGCTTTTTTTTTTTTTAAAAAAGCATTTTTTCATCCACTTTCACCTTTCAGGCCCAATCCAGGAACTTTCGCAGGCAGTCGATTTTGCGACAAACTATTTTTGTATTGAATTTATGTTTTACTGACAAAGAAATAAAGGGATACTAATGTAGATCTATTTCAAGCTATTTAGCTCTCATCAGCTAAGCTAGCCATACCCTTCTGGGATTCGAACCCACGCTACTTGCATATTAGGTAGATGTATTAACCTCTAAGCCACGGGCTCTCCTCACTTTGTTGGCTATACCAGGGGACAGAGTAAGTGTTTTTTCCGGTGAGACAGGTCTATCTCGGCAACCTGGTCTATCCAATTATGGGATGGAACATACTGCTTCCACTAATACATACATTCATCCAGGAGTGGGCTTCAAAAATTTTACCAAGGGGTTCTCTGCCCAGTTGCTGGGTGGACATGGTCATGGTGGACGTGGCCTAGTAGGCCTCCTGCACCATGGCAGGGGGGGCATTTTTGCCCTCCCTGGGCTCTGGAGGCTTTCCTCAAGCCTCCAAGAGGGAGAAAATGGCCTCCCCAAGCTCCAGAGGCCCTCTGGAGGCTGGAAACAGGCCCGTTTCCAGCCTTCCCAAACTTCCAGTAGACCCATTTTTTGCCCTCCCTGAGTCTCCATGCGCACCCTGCACTTACCTACATCCAAAACAGGCCACGTGGGGACTCCTGGGAGGGGTGGGGCAGGATGGGCGGGGCCAGCCTAGGAGTGGGATTTGAGGGTTCTCCGAACTGCACAGAATCTTAGCTAGAGGTTCTCCTGAACCCCTGCGAACCCCCAGCAGCCCACCCCTGGGTTCGTCACAGGGTTATTGTGCAGAGGAAAGTAACCAAGACTACATAAAGGAAAAGGAGCAAATAAATCTAACAGATAAATCAATGCATGGGGTCTCCCCCTCCCTTATTTCATTTGCCCAACAGCAGCCCATTGAAGAAGGCTCAGAGGGGAGAACAAGAGACTGACAGGCCCCATCCAGATCCAGTGTTACAGTGTGCTTGTGTGCTTGCAGTTCACAAAGGCTGAGAATGTTGTCATTGCCAAAACCACGATTCTGAAACAGGAAGTGCAAGACCTTATCTAAAAAAAAAAATCCTCTGTCTCTCCATTCCAAAGGAGACAGAAACAGAGAAAGAAGATCCTCCCTTTTCCATATATGAAACATGATCCGTAGTTTTCCACCATCTTATCACCTGTTTCAACTTTTAATCTCCTGCTGCAAAAGATCAATCTGCTCCTTAGCCAATGAAAGCCTGGCCATTTCCCGTCTAGAAGTGCAGATCTATAGCTTTTCTTTATTACAGGGAGTCTTCGAATTATGACCGGTTGCTTAGCAACGATTTGAAGTTATGACAGACCTTCCAAGGGCTAAAGTAGGACTCAGATTTGAAGTTATGATGGCTGCTCCCCCCCCCGCCCCCGCCCCCCAAGGTCTCCTGATTGCACTTTGGGCACTCGGCAGTTGGCCTGTATTTGCATCCATTTGCAATGTCCAGCAGTTACATGACTACAATTTACAAGGGTTTTTTTTTTTTGCTGGACACCAATCCTCACGTTGTTTCTGGTTAAAAAAAAAAAAACACTCATTAAGAAAAATGGATTCGCTTTACGACACCATGTTTGATTAATGACCACCACATTCGCCGTTATGACTTACATCAGAAATTCCAGGCTTTGTAACAGTTATATATCGAGGACTAGCTGTATTCCCCATTCCCATTTGTGACTGGTTAACTGAGGAGAGTGTTTATTAGATGATGATCTCTTTTTCCCCTCAGTATCATTGGTAAATAAGCCGACCTTAAACCCAGACGACTGTAAGATGCTATTGGCAAGGAGACGCCCATGCTTGACTGACTGGATTGGGCACCAGATGAAATGTTTCTACTTCTCAGATAAAGAAGAAACCTGGTCTGCTAGTCGAGACTTTTGCTCTTTCTACAATGCCTCGCTGGCCATTATTGAAAAGGAAGAAATGGTAAGAGGTGAAAATATCCTATTGCCGTGATGGCGAACCTATGGCACGCGTGCCACAGGTGGCACGTGGAGCCATATCAGTGGGCATGCCAGCTCAGCTCTGGGGCACATGCGCGCACCGGCCAGCTGATTTTCGGGCCTTCTGGGCCCACCAGAAGTAGGGAAACAGGCTGTTTCCTGCCTCTGGAGGGGCGGGAGGGGAGGCCCATTTTTCTTTCTTACCTGGCTCCAAATCCTCTCTGTGTATCTGGGAAAGGCAAAAACAGCCTTTCCCACTCCCTTGGAGGCCCTACGGAGGCTAAAAGGGTCCATTTCCCCACTCCTGGTGGGGAAGTGATGTTTTTTCCTGTCCCCAGCCTCCAGAGACTCCTAGAGACTCCTAGAGAGGCTCCTAGAGACTCCTAGAGAGGTTCTGGAGGCTGGGGACAGCAAAAAAATGTCACTTCCTGTCCCACCGAGAGTTGGGAAATGGGCCCTTTCAGCCTCCATAGGGCCTCCAAGGGAGTGGGAAAGGCTGTTTTCGCCCTTCCCAGATACACAGAGAGGATCTGGAACCAGGTAAGAAAGAAAAACGGGCCTACCAGGACATCATGTGCCAGGAGCGGGGGGGAGGGGGAAGGGGTTGTGCACGCATGTGCGTGGGCACGTGCGTGCGACCCTCCCCCACCCCCCCTCTCCTGGCACACGATGGCAAAAATGTTAGCCATCACTGTCCTATTGTATTATTAAGAGAGGATGGTTCTGTTTTCGTGTTGGGCCCATACATACCAATTCCTTAATTTTCCAGGGTCAAGTAGTGGGTCAAGGTATTCTGAATAGAGAGCTGTGAGATCCAAACTCAAGTCCACCCTGAGCTAGTGACTTGGAGCAAATCTCCGACCTGCCTTCAAGGATTGTTGTGGAAGAGCCAGTTTCTGTATGCTTGTATGATCTCCTACGACTATGTAATGCCTTTCCCCAAAAATAAGACCTATCCCTAAAATAAGACCTAGCATATTTTACATGTGCACCTAATATAAACCCTACCTCCCCAAAATAAGCCCTACTTAAGAGCCTGAGCAGCTGGACACCTGCCCATTCCATCTGGTCGCTTGCAGTGCCGCGGCCATGAGGTGAGGCTGGGGGGGTGGAGCCGCCCCATGTGCCCCGCACCAGCTTACCTCAGGGCCACCACAGCTAGGCCATCCAGACTCCGACAACTGCCTCATAGCGGCAGCGGCAGCAACCATGTGTAGCAGGAGCCCAGTGGTGAAATCCAGAAAAATTTACTACCGGTTCTGTGGGCGTGGCTTGGTGGGCGTGGTGTGGTGCGGCTTGGTGGGTGTGGCAGGGGAAGGATACTGCAAAATCTCCATTCCCACCCCACTCCAGGGAAATGATACTGCAAAATCCCCATTCCCTCTCCACTCCTGGGGAAGGATATTGCAAAATCCTCATTCCCTCCCCAATCCAGGGAAGGATACTGCAAAATCTCCATTCCCACTCCACTCCAGGGGAAGGATACTGCAAAATCTTCATTCCCACCTCACTCTGTGGCCAGCTAGAGGTGGTATTTGGTGGTTCTCCGAACTGCTCAAAATTTCCACTACCGGTTCTCCAGAACCTGTCAGAACCTGCTGGATTTCATCCCTGCAGGAGCCCACATGGCCACTGGCCCACTACTTCTGCTTGCTCACGGTCATAGCAGAGCAGGAGATTGAGTGATGTGCTGGTGCCGCAGCCATGAGGCAGGTGTCTCATGAGATAAAGGTTATGTTGTGGCCCCGCCTTCTGAGCCTGTCTCATCGGAGGAAGAAGGCTCCGAACATGAGAGAGAGGAGTCAGCCAGGCCTCCCTCTCCAGGCCCCTCCCCTCTGGCACTGCCTCTGGTGCCGGCCGAGGAAGAGGAGATTGGCCAGGAGCCAGGTGTCTCTGATGAGGGCGAGGAAGGAGAGCCGTCATTCCTGGATGCACGCCAACGAAGGCGTGATAAACGGACGCAGCAGTTAAGGAGACGTGCTAGGGATTATAGCTGAGTCACTGGACCACACCCCAGAGACTATATAAGAGAGGGTGGTGGCTGGTAAAAATCTGTGACGAACAAAAACTAACTCTGGCTAGTCACTTGAACAACGTCTGAAGCTGCCAAAGGGATATTGTTTTGCTGGACTATTTGCAATGCGTATGTAATTTTATGTTATCTGTTGCAGTAAAGCTCTTGGCAGACGGTGCTTATATTGTTGCAAAGTTTGAGATAACGACCTGTGTGCGTGCCAAGTACTTTCTTAACCCTCGGCTGGCTGTGTTTGTGTGTGTGTGTAGACGGGGACAGATCAGGTTAAAACAAATGTATAATCAGAGTCTTTAAATGTTTCAGAGTGATTTGATGTTTGCCATTTATTCCCTCCAAAGGATTTTGTGCAGCGTTACAAAGGCACCACTTCCCACTGGATTGGCCTCCAACGAGACCCGAATCAACCCTGGAAATGGGTCAACGGAAATGTTTCAATGTGCGTCATCCTTTCTCTCTTATGTCTTCAGTTGAGGAGTGATGAAATGGTCGCCATGTAAATTAAATAAATTAATTAGATAAATTACACCAGCCAAATGCTGAGAAGAAGTGGCGTGCAGTTTATTCATCATCCAGTGCCATCCTGTTTCCTGCATTGAGCACAAATGCAGGGCATATTTTCATAAATCCCAACTTTGTGTCTAAAACTAGGGAATATGGAGAGTGGAGGCAAGCCAATGTGGTGTAGTGATTAAGCTGTTGGACTTGAGAAACCCAGGTTAGGCCCCCCTCTCAGCCACAAAAGGTATCTGGGGATTATGGGCCGGTCCTTCTTTCTCAATCCCAGAGCCAGTGTGATCTGTGGTAAAGTTGTCCCACTAAGAGAGCAGAGACCCAGATTAATGTCCCCTCTGAACCATGGAAGATCCCTTGGTGATCCCTTTGGGCCACATCTTCTCTCAGCCCTATTTGCCTTGTATGTTAAAGGGGTACCTCTGAGCGCCAGTTTGGTGTAGCAATTAAGGCAGCAGGCTAGAAACCAGGAGGCTGCCACACCAGAAGTGCTTTTCAAAAGGCAATTGGACTTCTTGGTTTTTTCCTTGAAAATATTTCGCTTTTCATCCAATGAAGCCTCTTCTGTTCTGGGTCCAAGAAGTCCAGTTGACTTTTGAAAATGACCTTTGGGGTAGCCATGACCTGGACGATTGAGAATCTCCATAGACAGGAGTCCATGTTGTATCTTTTTATTCTTGATGAATGTATTTTATTCTCCTTATGTACACTGAGAGCACCGAGAGCAAAGACAAATTCCTTCTGTGTCCAATCACACTTGGCCAATAAATAAAGAATTCTATTATCTATCTACCATATTTTTCGGACAGTAAAATGCACCGGATTATAAAATGCACCTTAGTTTTCGGGGAGGAAAATAAGAAAAAAGCTGATTGGCGGGTGAATCGGCCTCCCGGAATACCTCCAATCAACTATTCCCAGAGGTGAATTTTAGCAACAGGTTCATTGGTTGTGAGCTTTGTGCCTTGCTTTTTTTCCAGCCTCTGAAACCTCCCTTAAAGAGGCTTTTTCAGCTTCTGAAACCTCAGAGGTTTCAGAGGCTGGGTGGGGCTACATTTGATGTATAAGACGCACCCAAATTTTCACCCTCTTTTAGGGGTGGGAAACGTGCATCTTATACTCTGAAAAATACAGTATTCTGTTAGTCTTCCATTGGGTACAAAGCCAGCTGTCACTTGGGCCAGTCACTTTCTCTCATTCTTATGAAGGAAGCAATGGCAAACCAATTCTGAAAAACTTAGCTAAAAGTTGTCCAGGCAATCTTCAAGAATCAGACAGGACTGAACATAAGGGGAAAAACAATGTATCCGTTCTTAACAAAAAGCTGGGATATAAGTCTAACAGATAAATACATAAAGAAGAAGAATGCCCCAATATGGCTGCTTTCTAAATTAATTAATTAATTAATTAATTAATTAATTAATCAAGCATATATAACAGATAAAAGTATAAACATGGTTTTGAATACATGAAATGGATACGAATAAAAAATTAGGACAGGGACGGTAGGCACGCTGGTGCTCTTATGCATACCCCTTACACTTGGAGTCCTAGATCAAAATTTGTGCTCAGGAAGAGAATAGACATATCAGCACTAATCACACTTTACTGAAACTAGCCAGATAGAGCAAATTCATGGACTCCAGTTCCCATCAGCTCTGAGCACAGAGGATGAATGAGTTGCAACCCAAAATTGCTAGGAAACTGGCTACTGCCAAACTAACCCATTCTATAGAATCCACTGCTATCTTCTTATCACCCATTCAGCTTTGCTTCTCCCGATTAGTAAGTTGAGATTTGCTCATCTTTGACTCAGCAGAAAACTACATTGGCATGAAATTTGAAACCTCCATTGCTACCATACCAATCCTAGGCTCTGGGGTTGCCTGATTTTCTTCCAAGGCAGATGGGTTTCAAAATGTTTTACTACCGTTTCTGTGGGTGTGGCTTGGTGGGCGTGGCATGGCTTTGTGGGCATGGCTTTGTGGGCATGGCAGGGGAAGGATACTGTAAAATCTCCATTCCCACCCCACTCCAGGGGAAGGATACTGCAAAATCCCCATTTCCTCCCAATCAGCTGGGACTTGGGAGGCGGAGAATAGATGGGGGCGGGATCAGTCAGAATTTTTACTACCGTTTCTCTGAACTACTCAAAATTTCCGCTACCGGTTCTCCAGAACTGGTCAGAACCTGCTGAAACCCACCTCTGCTCCAAGGCCATGGGTGGTGAAGTAGATCTTATGCACCGTGTGGAAGTTGTTGAAATAAAGAAGTAAATTAAGTCACCTTAGGGTGACTTAAGCCTCTCTTACTCATACGTGGGGGTGAGAGGAAAGCAATGCTATGGGGACATGGCAGAAAAGAGATGTCACTAGGGCTAGTTGATAGCGTGGTTAGATGCCAGTGGGGGTCACAGCTTTTCACTCTCGTTGCCCTTGTGTTGCAGGTGGGAGGTCCTCGGTGATGGAGGAAACTGTGCCTTCCTGAATGACGAAGGAAAAGCAAGCTGTTCCAGGTGCCAGACCCTCCATCACTGGATATGCAGCAAATCTGATGAATTCACAAGTCCAAATGTAGTTTGAAAACATATGGCTTCCAATCCACTTACCTGTAATTATCTCCTAATATTGGATAAAGTAATACATGGGCACAGGAACAATGCAACCCAGCCCAGCTTCATTTCCCCCGAGGGGGCACCCAGCCATGTTTACCACCTCCTCGAGACTGCTGCTGCTATGCTCGCTCTCCTTGGCCAGGTTGCTGGTGACCCAGTGCTAAGGCAGGACTTCCCTCAGTCCCTCCCTCCCTCCCTCCTCTTCCAATCTCCCTCCCTCCCTCCTTCCCTGCCTCCCTTCTTCTCATTCCCATCTTCTTCCTTCCTTCCTTCTTTTCTTCTTTTCTCTCTCCCTCCCTCCTGCCCATTACTCATTCCCATCATTTTCCTTCCTTCCTCCCTTCTTCCCTCCCTCCCTCCTTCTCATCCCCATCTTCTTCCTTTCTTCCTTCCTTCCTTCCTTCCTTCTTCCTTCCCTCCCTCCTGCTCACTTCTCATTCCCATCATTTTCCTTCCTCCTTCCTTCCCTCCTTCCCTACCTCCCTCCTTCTCATTCCCATCTTCTTCCTTCCTTCCTTCTTTTCTTCTTTTCTCTCTCCCTCCCTCCTGCCCATTACTCATTCCCATCTTCTTCCTTCCTTCCTCTCTCCTTCCCTACCTCCCTCCTTCTCATTCCCATCTCCCTCCTTCCTTCCTTCCTTCCTTCCTTCCTTCCTTCCTTCCTTCCTTCCTTCCTTTCTTCCTTCCTTCTTCCCTCCCTCCCTCCCTCCCTCTGTGCCCAGGAAAGGATGAAGGGAGGGGGAGAGGGCAGCAAAATATTTAATTATATATATTGTTTTATAGCCCTATTATTTTTTTCCCTTCCCCAAATAAAAAATGTGTTAAATTATTTCTCTTTTTTAGTGTACTATTTTATTGTAAATGCTGGTCAAAGGCCATAATAATTTTACTTGATTTCATTTGATTGACTATTTTATTATTATATTGTGGGATGCCCCCACTCCTAGAAGAATGGGATATTTTGGGAGATAATAAAAAGACAGAATATTATATTTCACTAATGGAGAAATGGAGAAACATGCTCTTAACAGAGAGCAGCCCCAGTCTTTCATAATAGGCCCCAGTAGATGCCAGCACTTAGGAGATAAAGAGCTTATTGAAAGAGGAAGACAAGTATCTAGATAGCTCTGTTCATAAGCAAAGCAAATACTGCAAGCAGAAATCCATTCAAGACAGGATATTTCAAAACTCCTTGCAGCAAAGTTTGACAGTTAACAAAGGCAGAATGGTAGGATTAGAAATCAGCCCCTCACCCAAGATCCAACACAGGACAAAAGCCATTAGCCACAATAGGAATAGCCCAACACCCCTTCAGAACACAAGCCCCTTCATTGCACCACCCCCCAAACAGTTCAAAGTCACAGAAACCTATAGAGATCCATCCACTCATTCAACCATTTGTTCAGCTGCACCAGAACCACAAGCCCTGGTGGTTCTGTTCACCAATAAATGGGCCTTCTTTTCAATGAGCCTCCAGCCTCCATTTTGTTTCCAGTGCCTTTCTCCAGACTTGGAGTTGGACCTGAATATTTCTTACAACAGTATTGTATGCAGCTCAGAGTTACTTTTGGGAAGGTGAACATATAGTTGATATACAAATAAATGAATAAGTAAATAAAAGTGTATATTGAAAATCATGGCAATCATTTATTTTACATCCCATCCAGTAGTGAAATCCAAAATTTTTTACTGTTGGTTCTGTGGGCGTGGCTTGGTGGGGTGGGGTGTCTTGATGGGCGTGGCTTGGTGGGCGTGGCAGGGGAAGGATACTGCAAAATCCCCATTCCCTCTCCATTCCTGGGGGAAGGATATTGCAAAATCTCCATTCCCACCCCATTCCGGGGCCAGCCAGAAGTGGTATTTGCCAGTTCTCTAAACCATCTGGAGAACCACTAGATACCGTATTTTTCGGATTATAAAACGGACTTTCCCCCCCCCCTCTAAAAGAGGGTGAAAATTTGGGTACGTCTTATACACCAAATGTAGCCCTGCCCACCTGCCAGCCTCCACCCTTTTGGAGCTTTTGGAGGCTCTCAAACAGAGAGCCTGTCAAACAGCCTCCAAAACGTCTTGAAGCTCCTTTGCAAACGGAGTTTTTGGAGGCTGCAAAGGCAGCCTCTCAAACAGAGAGCCTCTCCAGCAGATTTTTTTTTTCTTATTTTCCTCCCCCCAAAATAAGGTGTGTCATATACTCTGGAGCATCTTATGCTCTGAAAAATACAGTAATTAAACTTGAACTGAAACTGTTCTCAGTTCTCAGTTGAGTTGAAACTGTTCCCAAACTGTTCCCATGGACATGACCACGCAAGAAGGAGCCAGATCTTTTCAAGACTACACATTTCTGTTAGATCAGGCGCAGGAAATGTAGACGTGACCAGCTCGATACATTTAGTAACTTTATTAGCTACAGTAACAAGACAAGACAAGACTACCCGCGCGCTGCCGGAGCTCTCCTTATATTTGCTCCGGCAGTCGCACCGCCCCGGACAGGGATTCAAACTTTCCCGCCTGATGGCTGGCAGCCAATCCGGGCGGATGTCCTTATAAGGACATAACACTCTCCCCTCTTAGTCCGGGGACTGTCAATTCTCATCAATGAAAGTCACGTAATCACGCAGGTACGTAGGACACCTCGGCACCCTAGTTGACCTGCGCAGTCTCACTTCTTCCTCGTCCCCGACCTGGACGGATGGGGCTCCTGTGTCTCCTGGTTCCCTCCCCGGAACCGGGCTCGGTTCGGCTGGCGAGTGTGCGGGGTCATCCTCAGTGCCTCCGGCCGGACCGCAGACCTTGGATGGCTGGTTCTGGTGGTCTTCCTCCTGGCCTGTGGATCTATCGTCTCATCGCGGTTGCTTGGTTCCGACCCGGGAAGAGCGTCTGAGTCTCGGTAAGTCCCAGGCTGTCACTTGCTCCTCCCTGGTCTCCCGGGTGTTGCGGTTCGGCTGCGGTTTGGCTTGTTGTCGTCTGGGGGGTGGTTTGGATCGGTGCCCTCGGGTCCGGTCTGCCAGCTGTGGGTGGCGTTGGCTCGTGTCGTGCTGTCCGACCTCGCAGGGGTGGCGCAGGTCCCCTTAGTCGGGCTGGCGTTGGCCTACCCCGTTGGATCGGCGGTGGTCGACCTGGTCAGGATGTTGTTGAGGGGCTACCTCTGCGGATCGGCGGAGGTCTCCCCTGCCGGGGTGGTGCAGGTCTCCCTGGCCGGGTTGTTGTCGGCTTTCCCTTCGCCCTAGTCCCTGGTCTACCGCCGGTTGGTGACTGGGGTCATCTGGGTTGGGTTGTCGTTGCCGGGCTGTCTTCTGTGTTGGGCGGGGGTCCCCCTCACCGGGGAGTCGTGTGCCACCTTCACCCATGGGGGGTGCGGTGCCCATCTTGGCTGGGTCCCGGTCTACTTGCCTGGAGCGGAGGTCTCCCTGGCCGGGCTGGCGTCGGCTGCCTTCATTGGCGGGGTGCGATGCTTCCCTCTGGGCAGGTCCCGGTCTACTCGGGGGCTGGGTTGGTAGTCCCTTGCCCTGTCGTGCCGGGTGCCCACCTCGCTGGGTTGGTGTTGCCATCCCCCATGTGGCTGGCCCCGGTCTACCTCGCTGGACTGTCGACGTGACAGTGCCTGGTAGTGTGCTTGGCCGGCCTCGTCGGGATGGCGGTGGTCTGCCTCGCAGGGGTGTGGTAGGCCTACCTTGTCGGGGTGTTGTAGGCCTACCTCGCCGGGGTGTTGTAGGCCTACCTCGTCTGGGTGTTGTCGGCCTACCTCGTCGGGGTGTTGTAGGCCTACCTCGTCGGGGTGTTGTAGGCCTCCCTCGTCAGGCTGGTTTTCGTGCGCTCCCCCCCACCTTTTCCGGAGCTGGTCGATGTGACGTCTACAGACCTGTCCATCTTCCAGCTCCACGGTGTAGGACTTCGGGCCGGTTGTGCTGTCTATCTTCCCTTTCAGCCACTTAGGAGAGCCGTTGAAATTCAGCGCGAAAACTGAATCTCCCTTGCTGAAGGCGCGAAGCGGGCGGCTGGCTGTTGCAGTCACTTCTGGGCTGTATTGGGGGTGCAGCCGGTCGAAGGGTGACCTCAACCTTCTGCCCATCAGCAGTTCGGCCAGGCTCTTGTGGGTGGTGGCATGCGGCGTGATGTGCTGGGTGAGGAGGAAGTTGTCTATCCGTTCCTGCCAGTCTCCCGTGCCCATCTTGGTGAGTGCCTCCTTGGTGAGTCTCACCATCCGTTCCGCTTGTCCGTTCCCAGCCGGCCTGTACGGGGCAGACAGAGCATGGCGGATGCCCAGTCCTGCCAGGAATGTTTCCATGGCCAGGGATGTGAGTTGGGGGCCGTTGTGGAGACCAGCACGTCCGGTAGGCCATGGATGGCGAAAAGGCAGCGCAGGGCCCGGATCGTTGCTTCTGTTGTGGTAGATGCCATGGGTACCACCTCGAGCCACTTGGAGAAGGCATCTACCACGATGAGGAAGTGTCGCCCTTGCATCGGACCCGCGAAGTCGATGTGGATCCGTGACCAGGGGTTGCTGGGGGTCTCCCACTTTGCTGTCTCGGTTTGTGGCGGCGCTGGGCGTACTTCTTGGCACGGGTCACATCTGGAGACCCATTCTTCGATGTCTCTGTCCAGTGAGGGCCACCAGACATAACTCCGTGCCAGGGCCTTCATGCGGACGATGCCCGGATGCCCTTTGTGTAAGGTCTCTAGCGTCCGCCGTTGCAGAGTGCTTGGGATTAGCACCCTGTCTCCCCATAGCAGACAGCCCTTCATGGTGGACAGCTCCTTCTGCTTCCTGGTGAACGGGCTGAACCTCTCCTCCGTCTTCTCCGATGGCCACCCCCTGACGATCCAGGACTTCACTTGGCGGAGTGTGGGATCCTTTTGGGTGTGGACGGCCACATCTGCAGATGAGACTGGACAGCTGGCGTCGTCGTCTATGTGGAATAGGTGGAGCGTGGGGGCTGGGTCTTCTACAGGGTCCTTCAATGGGCATCT